AGATACTTAGGGGTGTGTCTTTGACATTTTATATTTTTAAAAAATGTTTTCAACATTTAGTGGTGTGTGTGTGTGCGTGTGCGTGTGTGTGTGTGTGTATTTTTGAGACAGGGTCTTGCTAGACAGCCCAGGCCTCGAACTCATGGCTATCTTCCTGCCTCTGCCTCTGAGTGCTGGGATCACAGATGTGTGCCAGCAGGCCCAGCTCTTGTCAACATTTATACAAAAGAAAAATTTTATGTAACAACCCAATTTCCAGCGTTGACTGCAAACTGAGATCCTGGTGATTCGGAGGCCTTGGCCACATGTGGACCTTGCCGGGCCGGGATCGGGACAGCGGCTCCCGGGTGGGGCCTGTGCCCTCCGAGTCCACACGCGGCCCAGCCTCCTCCACCCCCCCCCAGAGCCAGGGCAGCTGGGCACTGTCAGTGGTGAGAACCACAACCCACGTGAACCCGGGCTATCCAGGAACCCACGGTGCGAAATCCTACCTCCTCTTGTCAGAAGTTACAGTTGGAAACCTAGAGTTAACCATATTTGTAATTTTTCAATTATAAGTTAACAATCAATAAAATGATTTCATAGTAGTAGATATCTCATTTTAAAGTGTCATAATCAACTGTAGTTTACACATGATCTGTAACATTTTCTATGTGTTCAATATTTCACTGTTTTAAAACATCTTAGGCTGGGGGTATAGCTCAGCGGCACGGTGCCTGCCTGGCAAGTGTGAGGCTCTGAATTCGATTCCTGGTTCAAAAAATAAAATAAAAAGCTATTTTCTTTTACCAGCTGCTGGAAAACATTGAGAATTAACAGTTAATTTGCAAAGAACCTATTGTACCTTTCAATATTAGGAATCAAAGAAATGCTGAGAAACAAGGAATATTATATACTTATGATTTCATGAATAGTTTATATATTGTGTCAAAAACATTTTGAGTCATTTTACTTTTTTAGTATATTACTAGTTCTAAAATTGAAATTAAAATAATTCATTGAAAATGTTTAGCTGACATGATGCGCAAGACCTCCTGGGGCCCGGGAGATAGCTTAGCAGCGGAAGTGCCTGCCCGGCGAGGTCCTGAGTTTGATCCCCGATACAAAAAAAAAGACATGAGTAAGACTTA